GGCCTGAAGATGGTGATCTTTCCCCATAAAGAAAGAAAAGTCCCTCGAGTGATTTTGTGCATGGAAAACTTTAAAATTTTAAAGTTTTTCAGTGTAATCGGCACATGCACAATCATACCAGTCCAACTATATTACAAACAGGTTATTAGGAACTTAATGACAGTAAAGAAAACAATATACAACCCATAATTAAAGGTAAAGATTCATTCAAGCACCAGCCTATAATACAGCATCTTCAAGCCAACTCATCAAAACATTTTGAGCAGATTTTTGGTCTTTAACTGTGATTATTGTTTTATGCAGAGCTCCCAAACTATTACCGTACTGTATTGTAAAACTAAACCAGTAAATGAGTCATAGGACAAATGGCATCAGAAACATCAAATCTGTCATGCCCCATTCAGAGTCAGTGTTTACCTGAAAGGGCGACCCTTCAACGCTAAGACCAATAGTCCGAGGGCCAAAGTCATCCTGGATACATTAAAAGACATTCTTTCACTTAATAATAATGGATTGGATTTATATAGCGCTTTTCAAGGCACCCAAAGCGCTTTACAATGCCACTATTCATTCACTCTCGCATTTACACACTGGTGGAGGCAAGCTACGGTTGTAGCCACAGTTGCCCTGGGGCACACTGACAGAAGCGAGGCTTCCATATTGCGCCATTGGCCCCTCTGGCCAACACCAGTAGGTGGTAGGGTAAAGTGTCGTGCCCAAGGACACAATGACCAGGATAGAGAGCCCGGGGATCGAACTGGCGACCTTCCGGTTACAGATACGCTTCCCAACCGCCTAAGCCACGGTCTCCCCACTTTATCTCCATCCATCCATCCATCCATCCATCGTCATCCGCTTTATCCGAGGCCGGGTCGCGGGGGCAGCAGCCTAAGCAAAGAGGCCCAGACCTCCCTCTCCCCAGCCACCTCCTCCAGCTTATCCAGGGGAATACCAAGGCGTTCCCAGGCCAACCGAGAGATATAATCTCTCCAGCGTGTCCTGGGTCTGCCCCGGGGCCTCCTCCCGGTGGGACATGCCTGGAACACCTCACCCAGGAGGCGCCCAGGGGCATCCTTGTCAGATGCCCGAACCACCTCAGCTGGCTCCTTTCGATGTGGAGGAGCAGCGGCTCTACTCTGAGCCCCTCCCGGATGACCGAACTTCTCACCCTATCTCTAAGGGAGAGGCCAGCCACCCTTCGGAGGAAGCTCATTTCTGCCGCTTGTATCCGCGATCTCGTTCTTTCGGTCACTACCCACAGCTCGTGGCCATAGGTGAGGGTAGGGACGTAGATCGTCCCGAGCGAGGCCACTTCGGAGGTGGGGTGCCCCCGGCCTCTTGGCCTGGGGCTCGGTCACTCAGGCACGGCTGGCTGCCGGCGGAGCTCACGGGCGCGTCACTGCAACTCCCCCTGGCTTCTGCTCCGTGGCTGCTGAGTGAGCCCTCATCTGGGACTCTCCTCAGCTCTTTCTGGGACAGTGGCGCGGCTGCCCCTCTGTTGGTCTTCCTTGGTCTGTTGTGTTCTGGGGGCCTCTGGATGTCTGGAGTTTTGATCTCCTCCATACCTCCTTCATGCCCTGGAGGACGGGGCTGTGGCCCCCCCACACCCTCTAGCAGATCATTACATGAAGGAACCTTTTAAAAAAAAACAAAAAACAAGCGCGTCCATGCTCACAGGTGTACACACGGGTGATCACACCCACAAACTACACCCTTTTTGGCTCCTACCTCAAAGCACACTGTGTTCTGTTGATCTTATGTGCTGCACAATAATGTTTAATATTTAGTATTTACTGTCATATTCCCATATATCATTGTGATGTTGTTTATTCTATTACTCTTGTTCTCTTCTGCTTGTTTTCTTTTTTCTTTCTCAGCAGGTGACCCAGGTGATCGATATATGCATTTTTTTTCTTCTTTTTTTTCCTGCTCATTCTGTTGGTTTTTGTCTTTTGCCCTTCTCCCCCATCCCTCTTCTCAGCTGTTTCTCTTTCCCTCTTTCTTTCTCCCTTCTTTCCCCAGTCAAGTCTGTCCCGTATTCAGTAAGTGAAAATAAATGAACAATAAAAGGGAATCAAATGGACCATTACGGCAAGGCTGGGATGGTCAATTTGGTAAAGTAAATCCGTTGGGCATCTTTCTTTGCCTTTAGACAACAATTCTGATGGCAAAAGAGCCAAACGGGACAGGCAAAAAAAAAGAAAAAAAAAAGAAAAAAAAAAGAAAGGGGACGTAGATCGACCGGTAAATTGAGAGCTTCGCTTTTACACTCAGCTCCCTCTTCACCACGACGGACCGGTGCAGTGTCCGCATTACTGCAGCTGCAGCCCCAATCCGTCTGTCGATCTCCGGCTCCCTTCTCCCATCACTCGCGAACAAGACCCGAGATACTTGAACTCCTCCACTTGTGGCAGGAACTCATCCCCGACCCGGAGTGGGCACTCCACCCTTTTCCGGCTGAGAACCATGGCCTCAGATTTGGAGGTGCTGATCCTCATTCCCGCTGCTTCACACTCGGCTGCGAACCGTTCCAGTGCGAGCTGGAGGCCCTCACCCGATGAAGCCAACAGAACCACATCATCCGCAAAAATCAGAGATGAGATTCTGAGGCCACCAAAGCGAAAGCCCTCCGCCACTTGGCTGCGCCTAGAAATCCTGTCCATAAAATTATGAACAGAACCGGAGACAAAGGGCAGCCCTGGCGGAGCCCATCACCCACCGGGAACGAGTCCGACTTATTGCCGGCAATGCGAACCAAGCTCTTGCAACGGTTGTATAGGGATCGAATGGCCCGTAGCAATGGGCCAGACACCCCATACTCCCGCAACACCTCCCACAGGACACCCCGAGGGACACGGTCGAATGCCTTCTCCAAGTCCACAAAACACATGTAGACTGGTTGGGCAAACTCCCATGCACCCTCAAGTATCCTCGAGAGGATAAAGAGCTGGTCCAGTGTTCCACGACCAGGACGAAAACCGCATTGTTCCTCCTGTATCCGAGGTTCGACTAGCGGACGAACTCTCCTTTCCAACACCCTGGCATAGACTTTCCCAGGGAGGCTGAGGAGTGTGATCCCCCTGTAGTTGGAACACACCCTCCGGTCCCCCTTCTTAAAGATGGGGACCACCACCCCGGTCTGCCAGTCCACAGGTACTGCCCCTGATCTCCACGCAACATTGCAGAGGCGTGTCAACCAGGACAGCCCTACAACGTCCAGAGCCTTCAGGAACTCGGGGCGGACCTCATCAACACCAGGGGCTCTGCCACCAAGGAGTTGTTTAACTGCCTCAGTGACCTCGCCCCCGGTGACCCCGAAATTGGCGGGTCATTCCCCTCATCCCCACTTTATCTCAATGAGTTAATTTATAAATAAATGAGCAAATTCTGTAGGATAAATGTTATTTATTAGAGATAAAACATCTAAAAGAATCTGTGCACGTACTAAAATCTTGACCTTGAATCTGAATTCAAAGCACCCATTTAACAGAATGTGCTCAAATGTTCTTGAATTGGGACACTGTGTTCTGCAGTTTGAAAAGACGAAGAGACACCTCCTTCAAAGTTCTGAACACAAAATGTCACATGCAGCAACACTGTGATTATCTATGGAATGCTAAAACCTGTTTTGTCATCTTTGGGACATGATGTGCAAACAGTGGGGTGTGTGTGTGTGTTTTCATTCAAAGCATGAAAGCATGTGTGGGAGTTTCATTCATAAAGTTTTTTTTAAATTAGATGAACATTTTTTTCAGTGGAATCATTTGATATAAAATCTTTCATATTTTATTATCTCAACCCCAAAGCAGTGAGGCTGCCCATGTAAAAGAAGACTACGAAAACCATTAGAAAATGTGTTAAAGTGATAATTATGATAAATTCAAAATAAAATACTGTGCCATAATTTTATTTTTAGCTTTTCTATTATGCTATGTGTATTATAAATATAAGCATAAAAAAAGCTAAATACTATTAGGGCGTGAATAGACTGGTCTTTCAGAAACTGATGCTTGAACTGATGGACAACTATCTCTGGGATTACAGAGAATCATCTAAAAAGAGAAAATATCTAGTGAGCTGCAGCTCTCAGGGTGAAAATCACTTGTTGATGTCAAAAGTCAGAGGAAAATGGCCAGACTGCTTCATACTGAAAGGTTAAACACTTGTTCCAACCAAAGTATGCAAAAGAACATCACTGATTGCACAGTATATTGAACATGTTAATGCAGATGGGCTACAGCAGCAGAATACCACAACAGCCATCCCTGTCACCTAAATCAGGAAACTGAATATACAGTTCACATGAGCTCATCAAAAACTGGACAACAGACAACTGGAAAAATGTTGCCTGGTCATTTGGATGGCAGGGACAGTATTTGGGTTAAACACAATAAGAGCAAGAAATGATCCTGCCTTGTATCAAAGTTTCAGGCTGTCGCAGCTCTGGGGGACATTTTCTTGGCACATTTTAGACTCCTTAGTACCAGTTTAGCATTGTTTAAATGCACGACCTATCCGAGTATTGTTGCTAACCATGTCCTTATCTTTATGACAATATTGTGCCCATTTTCAGCTGGCTGCTTCCAGCAGGATAACGTGCCATGTCACAAAACTGAAATAATTTCACACAAGTTTTTGAACATCCAACTCAACCTTATAGTCAACAAATAAATAGTTAGTACCACCTCATACTGTATATGCAGAACTTTGTAATATCGTATTAGTCACATATTCAAATAGTGGGTGCATCAAACTAGCCGTTAACAAGTGTCATTCATTCAAATCGTCAGAAAAAAGCCTCTCTGCAAATAAACTTAGAACACAATGTAAACAATAATATTTGGATAACAGACCTGTATGTGAAACAAAATCTAGGACTTACGTAATAGAATCATCCTTCAGTTGAATCCTGTGTCATAACATGACGTCTGAATGCAGATTCTATTCAAGAAAGTCACACTGCGTTCTCCCCGCCTTCTGAAATGCTTAAGAAGGGTTGGGCAAAATGCTTATATAGCTTTAGTGGGCGATAGTGGAGTCATACAACGTTGCTGTGAGAAAGAGAGACTAAGAGATGGAAGGTGAGATTTCATCTTCAGAAATGCAAACTCTTTCACTCTTTTCTGTTCCTTACTATTCATTTGTTATACAGAGCAAATTCACTCTTGATAAAGACTATGATTATGATTTGATTATTACCATGATTACTGCTGTGCGTGATTGCCTTTTACTGTTACAGACAATGTATGATGTTGACAGTCTTTAATGTTTCTTTTTCTCAACTTGCAGACTTGAGGATAAAATATGTTGACCTGGAACAATCAGAAAACCTTGAGAGTCATAGGACGAATGGCTTCAGGAACACCAAATCTCTGGTGGTGCGGAGAGGAGCCCCATTTAAAGTCAGCGTTCAGCTGGAAGGGCGACCCTTCAACCCTAAGATCAATACTCTGAGGGTGAAAATCATGCTAGGTACTTTCCTGAGTATATTGCATGGATGCTTTTGTATACAAGTGGTCTAACCCACAATTTAAGGCTTTTGCTTGTGTTTCTAACATTCCTCAATTTTCCCATCAGGTAACCTGTACGCAGTAATGCCTGTAACCTTCTCCAAGAGCTCTTCCAAGTCCAGCTGGAATGCCTATATTGACCCTGAGGAGTGGAACCCTCTGAAACCTTCTATCTACATCTACTCTCCTGCCTCTGCCTCAGTCGGCTCCTACAGATTTCAGCTGTGTGTGCTTACTCAGGATGGCAAGAAAAGCTCTGCATATGGCAATTTCATCCTGCTCTGCAACCCCTGGTGTTCTGGTAAGTGAAGCAAAGTATCAGTGCTGGAGAATCAGATTTATTTTGGTAGCTTGTTGCAGCAACCATATATGTATCAGAATACATATATGGTTGTGTGGCCTAACACACAAACCATATTGAAAATTACATTATTGTAGAATACATAATAAATTATTAATTACTTATTTTTAAGTATCTGCTACAGTACTATATAGGTCCGTGGACTGAATGATCTGTATATCTCTTTGAAAATGTTGAATTGAACATGAATTGAAAATGTTAGTACACTGTGTGGTTCTAAATGCAGGATGTATTTCTTGCAGAGGATACAGTATACATCCCATTTGAGGATCAGAGAGAAGAATATATCCAGAGTGACTTTGGGTTGCTGTTTATGGGATCAGAGACAAACATTGTTGGAAGACCGTGGTCTTTTGATCAGGTAAGAAAGTCGCAAACTGAACACTAAGCAACTCAAAAAAAAAAGTATTACCAGAAGATGTGCCTTTTAAATGAGGTATTATGTATGAGTGTATTATGTTTTATCAAAGTGCATAAAGATCGTATTCTCTGTAACACTGTTTTGAAAGATTCCCAGTGTTCACTTTCAGTTCACTTTAATAATTCTTCAAAACAATATTTGAAAATGAATAAATGTGCAAATTTTGGAGGATCAATGAGATAAAACATCTTAAAGTATGTGTGCACATAGTAAAATCTTGACCTTAAATCTGACTTCAAACCACCTGCTTAACAGGATGTACTCAAATTTTCTCTTTTCTTTTTTCTGCCTGTAAAGTATGAGTCTGGTGTTCTGGAGGCATGCTTGAATTTGCTCCAAGTCAGCCCTCAGCACAAAAGAACAGAAAGATGGACTACCTGAACCGAAACAACCCCGTGTACCTCAGCCGGGTTGTGTCTGCCATGGTGAGTGTCAACAGATTCTGTCTAGCAACACAAATTCAACATTAACTAGCTTTACAAATTGTATGAATCACATTAGTTTTTGGATCTTGTTTACAATCTATTACATGAGCATCATTTCTACTTGTTAAACAAGCTTGGGCTTAACCTGGGACACTATGTTCTGCACATTGACACGATGAAGAGACACAGCCTTCAATGTTCTGAACACTAAATGTCACATGCAGCAACACTGTAATTATTACTGTAAAACTGCCAAGGCAACATGGAAAATTATGGGATGCCCAAACCTGTTTTGGCATCTTTGGCACGTGCTGTGCAAACAGTAAAAACTATACTTAAGTTGTGCTTTGTGTTTAGATCAACAGTGATGATGACCGTGGGGTGCTGAAGGGGAACTGGACAGGCGACTTCAAAAAAGGTGTCAGTCCCTCCATGTGGACTGGGAGTGGGGACATTTTGAGAAAGTGGAACCAGTCTGGTAACAGCCCAGTCAAGTATGGACAGTGCTGGGTTTTTGCAGCTGTCATGTGCACAGGTGCTTATATCTTCATCTTTTAAAACCTTATAAAAGCAAGTAACTTAGATCATGTACTTCTGGTCTTTGATAATCAGTTGTTCTAAATGATGCTATCATAATAAAGTGTTTTCATTCCTTTTTTTTTAACACCGAGTCATTTTTTCCATGACAGTGTTCAAATATTTTAACAGTGTTTTTTTTAAATCAATTGTGCTTCAGTTATGAGAGTTCTTGGCATTCCTTGCCGTGTGATCACAAACTTCAACTCTGCCCATGACACTGATGGCAACCTGGTGATTGAGGAATACTACAGCGCAACAGGGCAGAAGTTAAACCTCACCAAAGACAGCATCTGGTCAGTTTTATATTTTGCTTATAAACTGTATTATTTAACTACTTTAAAGACTTTAATGACATTTTAATGCTTAACTTTATCTTTTGTTGGACTTTAACAGGAACTTCCATGTCTGGGTGGAGTGCTGGATGACTCGTCGGGATCTTGAATCTGGAATGGATGGCTGGCAAGTTCTTGACCCGACTCCTCAGCAGAGAAGTGGAGGTGTGTGCTAAAAAAAGTTCTTAAACTTTTTCTTCCACTCTTTAATTCTTTGTGAACTTCTTCAAAACGGTCTTGTTTCTGCCATCATCACAGGAGTGTACCGCTGTGGCCCCGCACCAGTCAAAGCAATAAAGAACAAGCGTGTGGACCTGTTCTATGATGTCCCATTTGTCTACGCCAGTGTGAATGCTGATATCCATACAATCATCTTGGGCCAGGGTCAGGTGCTCGGGTTCAGCAAAGACACTGAGAGAGTTGGCTCCCTCATCTGCACTAAGGCTGTTGGGTTCCCCAGATTGCAAAAGATCACAGGAGATTACAAATACATCAAAAGTATGACCATAAAACTAGAATTCTGCTCATTGATTTGCACATTATGCAATTTAATGAAGTGATATATTGAACTAAAGTGATAAAGTGAAATAATAGCACTCTCACATACTCACATTTGTCTTTCTGTCTTTATAACACAGGCCCAACTTCAACACTTTCATCAAGAAGCTCTTCAAGTTCAGGTGACTCAACACTAAGAAGAGGTAATTTGTAGTTTTGAATGTATTCATCAGAGTTTATACCGATTTCTTTAAAAACATATCTCTTCATGAGGACTTTTTCATGTTTATTCAGCAGGTTCATCCCAGGGAGTGCTAGTCTTCCTGACCCTGGACAAATCCCCCATTGTTGGGGAGCCTGTCAGCTTCAGCGTGAAAATCATGAACAAGCAGAATGTAGCCAAGATGTTGAAGATTCACCTCAATGCCCAGGCAAAAGAATACAACCACAGCCCCTCGGACACCTTCTGGGAAAACCACGGTGTCTTACAACTTGCACCTATGGAAGGTACATTTACTTTTCTCATCTACAACTAAAATATTCACCTTTGAAGGACTGTTGTTGTTTTCAGATCTTAATCTATTTGGATTTGACTATTTATTTAACACAACCTCATTTCTGTGTCACTTCCTCTATCCAGTCAAGGTAGTGAGGCAGAAGATCCCCCTAGCACAGTATGAAGACGTGGTGGGGGATAACCTGATCAACCTTGCAGTTGTTGTGGAGGATACTGCCAGTCAGGAGAGAGTCCTGAGCTCAGAGGAGTTCAACATCACCAGTCCACAGCTCATCATACAGGTACTTTACAAAAATTCTCAATATTTCCTCCTTAAAGTTTCTCACATACAGACTTATTGCATCCATCAACTTAAACTTCTTTAAACAAATTAATTAATTAAACTTTATGTCTTTGAGCACAAATTCCAATGCTTTGATACCAAGTACAGGTTGCTATGTAATATTATAAGAAAGTATTTAAAGGGCATTCAGGATTTTCATATCTGATTTGATGATGCACCAGCTGTGAAAAAAATGCATCGGTGGTTTTGAAAATTTCTATAATATTTCTCCTTTTTGAATAAAAATGTAATCATATAGTTACAAGTATGAGTTGCAGACAGCAGATGTTATGTCATATTTATTAGCTTAAAGTTATATAATGGAGAACTTGAGGAAATGTTCTGGGTTTACTAATGTGTTTGTCCTTCAGGTTGCAGATGAAAAGTCCATCAAGAAACACAGCGAACAGACTGCCCTAGTGACCTTCATCAACCCATATTCTCACCCAGTCAGTGGAGTACTGACTGTAGCTGGGGCTGGGCTGCTCCAAGGCAAAGTTCAGTTCAGGTAAGAATGATTTTTTTTGTCTCATGGGCAATAATTAGAGGCGTGATGCAAAGTGACAGGACGTTTATTGTAGTCAGCCACTCTAAGTTACTGGAATAAATTTCTACATTTTGCAAACATTTTTTTAAAATAAGCTTTCTACATTTTCCTGCAGGATTCCCCCACTGCCTCCAGGAGGAAGAGCGGATCAGCCAATCCCGTTCATGCCCAACATGGTGGGAGAAAAGATGCTGCAAGCGAGCCTGTGGCTCACAAATATGAATGTCACCATCAGAGGCTTTAAGATGGTCTCTGTCAACAGTGTTTAGCACCTGCAGCCATGTTTCCTATGCTGTAAATGATGAATGTAAATATTATTTATTTAGCTATTTATTGTTTTTATTTATGTGTATATGTGCCATAAAAATTAACATTGATACCCAAAGATATATATTTTTTAATTTATTGTTGTACTTTTACCTTTATTTGAGAAATAAAATCCTAAAATGTTCAATTCTGTCTCATTTCTTCTAAAAGCCACACAGTGTATGAGTCTATCAGTGTCTTTATGTTACTACTTTTCTTGGCCTGAAGATGGTGATCTTTCCCCATAAAGAAAGAAAAGTCCCTCGAGTGATTTTGTGCATGGAAAACTTTAAAATTCCTTTTTAGGTTTATGTCATGTAGATTGATTAGAATGCGTCTATAGATTGAGCAACAGTGCAAAATGAGATGAAACTGAACTCACCTTTGCCCTCAGTGTAATTAATTTATCTTTATTCATCTACTTCAACTGTCTGTCACAACAAGTTGGCAACAAAGCATTATATACAGATCATTGCTAAGCTGACAGGCAGTGTAATCGGCACATGCACAATCATACCAGTCCAACTATATTACAAACAGGTTATTAGGAACTTAATGACAGTAAAGAAAACAATATACAACCCATAATTAAAGGTAAAGATTCATTCAAGCACCAGCCTATAATACAGCATCTTCAAGCCAACTCATCAAAACTTTTTGAGCAGATTTTTGGTCTTTAACTGTGATTATTGTTTTATGCAGAGCTCCCAAACTATTACCGTACTGTATTGTAAAACTGAACCAGTAAATAGCTCAGACTGTAAAGCTGAAATGCAGACTATTTAATAGCCCCTACCTTTAAGAGAATGGTATTTAACATTTATTACTAAAAATCACAATATCAGAATTCTTGCTTCTAATTTTGTCTTTACAACATTAATGGCCAGTAAAAAAACGTGTTAAGTCTCAAAAGAAATATAAAGACACAGCAGAAAAAGTCATCAACAATCTGAACTTTACTCACTGTGATCGCTAAACAGGATGTTAATATCCTGAAAACGGAACAATTTATAAACTCAAGATGAATTAAAAAAAAAAAAAAGTAAGTTTGTTGTTTTATATGATTAATATTATCGGTATTAACCATAATTCCCTGGAGTTAGCGATGAGGCTTTGGTCCCTTATTTCACTTTGGCCTTTTATTTTGTTTCCAGCCCTTTTTTTCATATTTATGTATCACAGACACTGCAGCCTTGCTTCAGAATCCCCACAAAATCCATTGGCTTGGGTATAAAATTGTCTGTCAGAGTGCTTGCTCAATATAGCAGTACAGACTTTTAATCAGTCTCCAGGGGAATCTTCACCTGCAAGGTGCACTCAGAAGCTCCAGAGTTTCTCATAACACAAGCATAAGAGCAGAATGTGATGGATGGCGCCCTCTAGAGGTAGTCCAGCTCCAGTGCGTGGCTCAAAGCCTCGAGATCAGCCCTACAGGACACTCTCCAGAATGGCATGTTCTTCTGATAAAACAAAAATAATGTCATATCAAACGCGTGTATAGAGTATAACATTGAAACTTAAGATAGTATCTTTTCAGAAGTTTTCAGTGTTTCTGCAGAAGAAGAGCATATGTGAAGTATTGTCCCATTTGGAGGGGTGCTATAGTACACAGATACATCTGGATAACATTATAGAAAAGCATTAGAAAAAAAAATCTAGGAAAATCTCAAAACAGCAATTTCATGAAAAAACAAACCCATACCACAGAAGCTGCAGAAATCAAGCATAGTGTAAGGTTAACTGATTTGCTGTGGCCCATTTTTCAGCCGTTAAAGTAATAATAAAACCAGACAGTTTTACCTTCTTGGCTACAGTCTCCTCTTCAGCTCCATCTCCTATCACCACATAGACTGCTCTCCGACCAAACCTCTGAGAGACACGCTCAAAACAACTTTCTTTGCCTTTGAAAAGGAGAAAAATCACAGTTTAAATTATTATTACAGCCTTTTCACTTGCTTAACTGTGATATTATCTCCTTGCCTACTTTCCCTTGAAGTTTTCTCACCTGTCTTGGTGGCACTGTATATGTTCTCTATGGGGAAGGCTGAACCTAAACCATAGAGTAACACCTTGGACAGGGCTGGAATGAGCTGAGTAGTGGTCACCAACACATTCACGCAATTAGGCCTGAAAGAGGGCAAGACAGGCACTAAAGTCAGTAAATATGACAAACAAATATATTTTGTCACAAACTGAGAAAAAAAATGAAAATGTCAAATTAAACAAAGCTAACATTTAATTCACCTCTAAGTGGTAATAAAACTATGGAAGCATAAACTGACCTTGAGTTGATGAGAGCCAGAGCTTTGAGTGCTTGAGTCAGCCACAGGTCAGTGAGGACTTCCATCTCTCTCCTTAACTGTAACCACTCTTCTCTCTTGGGGCTGCCCAGTAAACCTGACCATCAAGAAGAACAAAAGCTTGACAGATAATCTTGGAAACAAGTATTTTACTCTTCTTCATATCCAAACTGCATGTTTATGCCTAGAAAGAAAATAGGAACCTAATGAAACACATCACATCATCACACGCACCACCACACATTTCCTATAATCCTATAATTATAAATTATAGGATTTATAATAATATAATAATATTCATAATCTTTATAATCTCTTCTGCTATTTGCACGTTCTTTACTGTAAATTCCTAAGTTAATTTGTAAATTTTGTAGTAACCTGTAAATTGTAAATATTGTAAAACTTTTTTTCTGTCATTTAATAGTCGGGCATTGTACAGCTACAAGCATTTCACCCCCATGTCATACTGTGTATGGTTGTGTGTGTGACAAATAAAATTTGAATTTGAATGAACTCAAATGAAAAGGTCCTACTTTATGACTTCAAATCAATCATCTTTTGATTCTTAGATGTTAAGATTTAGTTCTTTAACTCTTTACCCACTGAAGCCTGACTAGGTGTAACACTTACAGTTAGTTTCTCTTTTGCCTTTAAGGGCACTGGTGAAAGTCCTACAGTTGATAAATATTTGCATTTGTGTAGAATAATCTCATCATCTAACTTCCTGTAAGTGTTAGGTGTTTAATAAGTGCACGAAAACCCCACATAAAAGAAGGAAGGAAGAATTTCTAAACTTTCACGTCACACATAGACAGCAATGTTGTATAAAATGAGACTAGAACTTACCCCCGACATTATTTTTGTATGTGTTGTAGATCTCCTTGACTCTGCGGTATCGGAAAGCTAGTTTCCTCATCCAGTCCACCCCTCCGTGGACCCCTGACCCCAGGCACAGAGATCCTGCTCCTGCTGGGCTCTGGAAGCCATCCGACCCAAAGTTATAAGTGCTGCAGAGTCACAATAAAGAAAACAGCCAGGATATAAATCATAAAGGCGTGAGCTGAATTCTTCTGAAGATCTTATTGTAATAGTTCATCATTGTTGACATTGGTACTCCAAGAATCAGTGGCTATATTCACTAATATATTTTAGGGTTGCAGGAATTTATTAAAGCAATTCAACCATTGAAAAAGAAAGCATTGCTCGAGCTTTTCATCAAATGTAGGGAAATGTGCCAGTGCAAATGAAACTGTCCGGGCCAAGAAATCCTGTAAAATTGAATGAGCATTTGTCACTAAAAATATTATATACATGTAGTGTGACTAGAATAAATATAAAAACATACTCAAATGAAAAGGTCCAAGTTCAATAAAATAAATATGTCAAAAATGTACTTTAATACAGACTGGTTCGCTCAAATCATTCCTAAAAGCATCTTAAAGTGTTTCAACAAGTTTATGCAATAAAACGCCAGCACTGAGGGAGACAGAGGGAATGAAAGAGATAGTTTGATGAGAAATGAAAGCACTGGATAATCCTCTGACATATTATATGACTGTGGAAGTAGGGAAAATAAAAGACATGCACATGCTTGCATGCATGAGCACACACAGATGCACACAGCCCCCATCTCATCTTCATGCTTTTCTCTTCCTGCCCACTAAAACCCAGAGGGCAAGTCTGGTTCACAAGCCATAGCAGAACTGTCAGTTTCCCAGCTAAGCTTTGAGTACAGTAACACAGCAGAAACTTTACCTCAGGTCCTGTCCATTGTCATCTGATGCCACGTCATCAATATGGACTTGGTCACATTCCTGGGAAATGAAAAGGAGAGCAGATATATGATGAGATCCTTTTCAGAGTAAAGCCATTTACAGGCAGGTCTCTGCTCTATAGAAATGATAGCACAATGGATATGAAAAAAAAAGGGTTAAAATAAAATACAAGGAAGGAGGAAATAAGGTGTCAGGAAATGGGCCAGTAAGGCGCCACGGAAAAAAAGTCGTCAACATAGTGGTGCAATTCTAGCGCAACCACATAGTGAAGTAAAGTAAATCTGCACTTTTTTTTAAATACACCTAACAATTTAACCACTGGTTAAAAAAAAAAAGAAATTCTCTTAAGAATCACTCATTGTCCGACAAGCACAATGGTTTGCATATTTGTCTCTGTTGGACGTTAATGCAGCCAACCAGACTGCAGGGAACAAAACCACACTGTAGCTTAACCAAGTGTCTGCAGCCAAAACACCTTCAGCAATATGCAGTAAAACAAGAAATTTGAAAACAGCTATTATGATTTGATATGTTAAATTAAAAAAAAAAAAAAAAAAGTAGGACAAGTCAGTCATCACAGACTAAGTGAAAACACACCATGCAAAGGTATCAAGCAAAAACTTGCACTCTGGTTTCTGCACACTCAGTGATATACTCTGTTTTTAAGCACGCACATGCTTAAAAATGGAGTCCTAGTATGACTCCAAACTGTAACGCAACGGCCCAGTACAGACCGGCTCTCCTATCACCTTTCCCAGACGGAGACGCTACCTCATCTCCCTTACATTGCTGCATAACTATATTCCCAGGGGCTGCAACCCACTCCCACTCAGGTGACATCCACCCATGCTGAAATGTAACTGCTGACAGTACAATGCGGATTACCTTTGTATAATTTAATTTCAAACATTTGATTATTTAATACGGACAAAAGCAAACTGGATCCTTCATCTGTCAGCTCTGCAAGTCCTAAAATGTCAATGTAAGTGCAGAATAAAATAAAAAAAAATTGCACATATGCTAAAAGTCTCAAAAAGCAAAAGTCTGAGTTAGTCTGATTTTGATTAGACTGC